TGAGTCAAAGGCTGGGCAATATTGTTGTGGTTGCCTAGTAACTCCTAACAGCCACTGAGAATTCAGTAGGTATTCTTTTCTTAAAGTAACAAGAATTGTTTGTGTTGTTTTTGGAAGTTTTAATCCTGATGAGTTTATTTTTTTTTAGATTTCAGATATTTCTACACTCCATGGGACTTAAGAACATAAGAACATAAGAGATGCCAATGTTGGATCAGGCCAAAGGCCCATCCAGTCCAACACTCTGTATCACACAGTGGCCAGAAATACCAGTGCCATCAGGAGGTCCACCAGTGGGGCCAGGACATTAGAAGCCCTCCCACTGTTGACACCCCCCCAAGCACCAAGATGCCAGAGCATCACTTGCCCCAGAGTCCCTATCTATACCTTGTGGCTAATAGCCACTGATGGACCTCTGCTCCATATGCTTATCTAATTCCCTTTTGAAGCCGTCCTAGCCGCCACCACTTCCCGTGGCAGTGAATTCCAAGTGTTAATCATTCTTTGGGTAAGGAGTTACTTCCTTTTATCTGTTCTAACCCGACCGCTCAGCAATTTCATGGAGCGCCCACGAGTTCTTGTATTGTGAGAAAGGGAGAAAAGTACCTCTTTCTCTACCTGCTCTTTCCCATGCATAATCTTGTAAACCTCAATCATGTCACCCCTCAGTCGTCGTTTCTCCAAGCTAAAGAGCCCTAAGCGCTTTAACCTTTCCTCATAGGGACAGTGTTCCAACCCTTTTATCATTCAAGTTGCCCTTTTCTGCACTTTTTCCAAAGCTATAATATCCTTTTTAAGGTGAGGTGACCAGAACTGCACACAGTATTCCAAATGAGGTCACACCATTGATTTATATAGGGGCATTATGATATTGGCTGATCTGTTTTACAGCTTCCATTACTTTGTTTGTTAACCATGCAGGCTTTTTCCTATACCTGTTTGTGCCTTTCCTAACCTGCGAAATATATATTTTTTGAGCTTCTAGAATCGTAGTTTTAAATAGTTTCCAAGCTTCCCCAATGGTTTTGACCCTTTCTACTTTTCCCTTCAGTTTCCTCCCCACATGTCCCCACTTCTTTCAAGTTTGTACAGGAATTCCTCCAGTCTGTCCCTAGCTCTGTTTTGTTACTCCATTGTTTTCTATGACACAGTTTGGAAAGAGATATATTGATATTATTTTTTCCTCTCCAATTGTTTAATGATTTACTGTACATGTTTTATAGACTGTGTATTTGGCTACATTACTGAAGGTTGCTTTTCTGAGAAGAAAAAAAGGGTGATAAACATTTTAACAAATGTGTGAAGGTATGTATTTTTCAGGGTTTCATGTTTTAATATAGGAGCAGGGCCCAACCATTTTCCAATAGTTTCTTGCACTTTTATTATTTTAAAATAGAAACACTTCAAAATATGTTTACATAATATGATGTGTAGCTCTGCATACAATCCGGCACCATTTAACCTTACAGAAATATCTCTTAGTTCGGTTCTTTTTTCTCTTATAAAGTCCATAGATTTGTCGTAGTTCAACTCTATAAAGCCATTTATACAGTTCAAAGAAAAAATGTGACCTTGTAATTTGTAAGGAAACAAGCATACCCAAAGAAGTATTAAAATTATGATTACCTGTTCGAGTAAAGATTCTCGTTCATCAATTAATTTTTTCAGTCGCATGTCTGGAAGGAAAAAGATACAAAATGCTCCATGTTGCTATTGTTTAAGTGAAAATGTCAAAGTTTGTATGTAAATGAAAAAATGAAAAAGATGAATGTTAGTGAAACTAATGATAATGCACGTACCATGGCAAATGAGGTCACAAACAGGACTGGGAGGGGGTTTCAGCCCAGGGAGCATGCTGGCCACTTCAGGAGAAGCACCCAGGGGCATGCAAAGCGGCTAGTCTTCTACTGTCAGTTAGCATGCAAATAGCTCTAGGTGGTCAAACACTGGAATACAAAAACTTCATAGACCTTTACAGTTGAATACTAGTACCAAGCAATCGACACTGTTACAACAAAGAGTCATACAACATCTCAAACATTCTGTCACTCTTTATTATAGGTTTTGCAGAAACAATTTTGTCATTTGGTATTTATTAAGTTCCACTGGGTGGCTCTGGAATTTATTTTCAAATAGATAGGAAAATTATGGATCTTAATGGAAATCTTTCAAGCCCAGGGGGAAAATAAAATTCTTAAATGTGCAGGATTGCAAGAAAAGGCATGTATTTTGTTTCCTATCTGAAACAAAAGTGGGCATTTTAGAAGGTCATTGTGTCACATAGCAATATCATTACATTTCTTGTGTAGAATGAAACATACATCTTAAATGCTGGCAATGGCATTTCAGCACCGGTAGACAAGCCTTCTTCCTTTTTATATATCCTGATCACCAGCTTCACCGGGCTCTCCCATACCCCCTCATCACCATGCAAGCTCCTTTTGAGAGTCAAAGGGCCATTTCATGGGAAATTACAGGGGCTGGCTTCTGTTCAGACACGAGTGAGTATGCAGACCTTCCTATCCACTTCTCTGGAAACCAGTAATTGTCCTTTGCACAGAAGGAAAATAGTCACAAGGAATCTCATTCTGACTGCTGAGCAGATCTCTGTCCCCTATGCGCGTACTTGGTTAGTTTATTTGTTAGATTCCTCTTGCTCTTCTGTGGACTAGGCAGGACAATTCACAACATTAAAATAAGAAATTAAGCAACACAGTATACAACAATGACAGAACAATAACAAAACCATATGAAAGCAAAAAGCATCAAAGAATGTATAAGTAAAAAACCCCAATGGAATAACATGAAATAATAACAATAACAATCATACACCCATGATACACAAAGGACTCCGCAGCAGTAAAGACAGAGAACCAGTAAAAGCCACAGGATAAAAAGTCTCCCATAAAGATGGAGTGTTGGTCTTTTGCCCCCCCCCCAAGAGAACGTTGTTTACTGACTTTCAGGAGGCCACGGAGGAGAAGGCGGCTGATCGTTGGCCCTTCCCTGGGAGGGAGTTCTCAAGCCTGGGGCGGTGCCGGCCCCAGGCAAACTATCATTCTGCACACGGGTAAGTGCAGCATTCTTTCTGTGTCATGGAGACTCCCGTCTAGAATGGATTCTGTCTAGAATACCTTGCAAGAGAAGGTTTACCTGGGGTTTGAAAGCTTCTCAAATATGATGTTTACTGTAGTGCAGCAAACAATTTCTGAGATCATAATTAAAGCGAGATTTTTGTAAAATATTACAATTTAACCATAGCCTAACACATTACACAATCATTTTGATTGGTGTCAATTAGGGATACCACAAATTTCGCAGTCACTTGGTTTGGCTGATATTTTCAACCAGACGGTAAATTTAAGCCAGTCAGGAACTGGTCTGGAGCACACTGAGCAGCCACACAGCTGCTGAACAAGCCGGCAGCTGCCTGTTGGCCCGAGGCCGGATCCCCACTCATCAGGGGATCACCCCCTGGGGGGAGTCAGGTTTAGATCCAACACCCACCCCAGCAAAATAACTGCAAAAGGGAGAAATGAAGGAGCTTGTTTCTATTCCTTCTTCTGCAAGCTGAGGTGCAGGGATTTTAATGTCTGCATTCCTTTCCTTTTCTCTATAGCCCAAGCCAACAGCTTGGGGTAGGAAGGAGAGAAATCAGGTAGACTTCTGATTGGTAGCAGCCATGCAGGCCGGGAGGTGCTGTGGAGAGGGGGAGAAACTGCCCTCTCCTCCCTCCTCCGTCATCAAGGGGCCATTGATGGAGGAGGCAGAAAGGCTGACTTTGTCCTCTTCTCCCTTTTTCCACTGCAGCAAATGCTACACTTGTGTGCACTCTGCCTTCTCCAATAGTGTACTATGAGTTTACAGCCTGGAAAGATTTTTTTTTATCAGGTTAGTATCTAATTACACAAGCTTAAAGTTATTTATTAAAATATTTATACCCTGCCTTTTTTCTTGGCTCAAATGGAAGCTTAAGGCCTTTGTAGTCCCTATCTGCATAATGAAACTTTTGTGACAAATGACTAAATCTAAGAAACCAACAGAATATGTACAAGCAGCTAAATACCAGAGAATTATAAGTACATTAGAAACAATATCAATTTAATTATATATATTTGCAAAGAGTGGGCAAATTTTAAGTATAAGAAGTTTATTCCATTATATTCAGTTCAGTACGTGATATACATTTTTGTGCTTTTATAATTTCACAGAACACCTAATATGTTGTATATAGCTCTACATTTTGCCCATTCCTCTCATTTTAATAGCTTAAAAGTAAATTTTAAAAGTTTGTATTATACAATTAAAATCCTCCTGGTTGGTGTACATTTAGAAATAAGGCACAGAGTGACAAACTAGGAACACGTGATTTCATGTTAATAAAAAAATGTACTACGTAGGAGTTTTGTGAATAATGTAGCAGTAGTCACTATCTTTTCTTTTTGTGGTTTTAAGTAATGACTCAGGTATTCATACAGAAATTCAAATTTGACTGTATTCTGGGGGGAAATCATCTACATGTAAGAAAAAATTTCTTCAAATGTTGGGGGGAAGGCACAGATAGAAATGGGCTGCAAGAAATGTTAGCTGATAAAAAGGCTGAACACAGAGTGCCCTTTTGACACATTCCGAACCATGTTCAAGACGAAGGCTTGACTCAGTGCAAAATGGCTAACGGGAATGGGCTGGATCCCAAGGTACTTTTGTATTCACTGAAGGATTTAAACCATATTTTGACAATAAAATCTGGTATTAATTGAGAATGTGTTAATATTCAAACCACACAATGTTCACCTTTATATTTCTCGAGCAAAACACCAACTGCTTTTTAAAAAATACTGAACGTACTGTACTTTACCGCTACTAGAATCAAATATACATTTGTCTGACAACTGACAGCATATACTAGAAGATCAGCAGATTTTAAAAGCACCCAAGGCTTAGCTTTCATTCAAATACTGAAAAGATAAAAACACTTTCTGTGTACTCTTGATGTGATTAAATGTCTTCATTAAGAATTCAATAGATTGGTACTGATGTGATAAATGATAATTAAACCTGATAATTTAACAGCATCATCAGATACATTCATAATTGCTATAGGAAAGGAATTTGTGTTTACAGTAAGTTAAAAAAGCAGAAGTTAGAAAGTTTTCTTTGGTCTATTGCACAAAAGTGAATTTTTACCCTGAACCTTCTCAGATGGCTGCTACGCCACCAACAAGCAACAGCCCAGCTTCTGAGATCATGCTACTACACAATCTTCTCGAGATTTACCTTTACCCTTCTTACTCACTTGAATTTCCTCTTGGCTTTCATCTACAACTCTCCCAAGATTTTCCAGCTGCTCTGAGGTACATTCAGCAGTTTCTTTTGTATTGTTTTCATCTAACAGCTTTCCATTTGTATTGCACAACACTTCATCTGGTGCTTTTGCAGACACAGAAGGATCAATTTGCAAATGCTCAGCTTTTTCAGATTCCTTTTGCTTCTCCTCCTGAATATTCTCATCACCTTCAGTCAGTAGTCTCTCCTTTATCTCCTCCTTCACAGAGCTCTGATTGGTTTGCTCCTTGTTATTGTCTTCTGCAACTTGTTCTTCATTCTTACATTGATTGTCACAGTCTTCCCTGAGCACAGTCTGCATTGCCCCTTCTGTAGCCCCGCCTTTCTCTTCTTTTTGCTTATTATTCTCTTCTTCATTACCCTGGCCTACATTCCTTTCAGAGGTATTCAGTTCTCCAGAAGGAAACTCAACAAAATCAATTGCTTCATGATACTCTTCACCAGCTTCTTCATCTTCAATCTCAAGCTTTTCTTCTTCAGTACTGAAGTCAACCTTCTGTGACTCCTGGATGTCTGGCACAATATCATGCATCTCTCCTGCCTCTCTGGGATTCTCATCTTCTTTCTCCCCTTCGGCCGCTTTTTCAGCATTCCCCGTGATTGTCATCACAGCTGGCCCCTGGACAATGTCAACTTGCTCTTCTGTACTCTGCTCTCCTGTAGGCTCAGACTTAACTTGTGTGGGATGATGCATCTCTCCTGCCTCTCTGGGATTCTCATCTTCTTTCTCCCCTTCGGCCGCTTTTTCAGTATCCCCCGTGATTGTCATCACAGCTGGCTCCTGGACAATGTCAACTTGCTCTTCTGTACTCTGCTCTCCTGTAGGCTCAGACTTAACTTGTGTGGGATGATGCATGTCTCCTGCCTCTCTGGGATTCTCATCTTCTTTCTCCCCTTCGGCCGCTTTTTCAGCATTCCCCGTGATTGTCATCACAGCTGGCCCCTGGACAATGTCAACTTGCTCTTCTGTACTCTGCTCTCCTGTAGGCTCAGACTTAACTTGTGTGGGATGATGCATCTCTCCTGCCTCTCTGGGATTCTCATCTTCTTTCTCCCCTTCGGCCGCTTTTTCAGTATCCCCCATGATTGTCATCACAGCTGGCTCCTGGACAATGTCAACTTGCTCTTCTGTACTCTGCTCTCCTGTAGGCTCAGACTTAACTTGTGTGGGATGATGCATCTCTCCTGCCTCTCTGGGATTCTCATCTTCTTTCTCCCCTTCGGCCGCTTTTTCAGTATCCCCCGTGATTGTCATCACAGCTGGCTCCTGGACAATGTCAACTTGCTCTTCTGTACTCTGCTCTCCTGTAGGCTCAGTCTTAACTTGTGTGGGATTGGTTTGACCTTCAGCAAATTCTTTATGTGCAGCTGATATGCATGCCAGTGTTTTGCCATCAGGTATGAATTCAGGTTTTCTCTCCCTGTATTTTATAGAGTCATTCTCTAATATTCTTTCCTCATGGATCTGGCATTCACTTGGAGATGCACTATCTGCAACATTTTTTCCTGATAAAATCTCTTTCATGGCAGGTTGCTCATTATTTTTCTCAGCATCGGCATCCATTGTTCCCAACAATGCATCTCTTTCTTCAGTCTTTTCAATGTGGCTCTTTCCAGTATTATTTTCACTTTCTTTTGTCTCTTGCTCTTTTTGTTCCTCTTCAACCAACAAATCATGTTGCAAAAGCATGGACTGGGGTTCTTGTATTTTAAGTTGTTTTTCTTCCTCTATAAGCTCAGCTTGTGCCCTTTCACAGGCACATGGGACGTCCCCCCCCTCTACGGCTGAAGTTATTACTTTGGTTTCCTGCTGCAGGAAAGCATTTTCTGCCTCATTCCTGTCCTTAGTTTTATCAATACCCTTTTTGCCCCATTCAGGTTTTTTAGTTATTTCTAAACTTTCTTCACCTTCAGCAGCTTGGCTCTCCAAATCCCTCTCAACAACTTTGTTCTCTCTAGTTTTTCTGGCCTCACATGGATACTCAACATTAGATTCGATCCTTGCTGCTTCTGTAAGGGCATCTCCTGTCGATTTCAGTGGTTCTGACTGACTGGAAGTTTCTGTGGGGTTCTGAGTCACAGAATCTAAAGTTCCTTCAAAGACTTCATTATCACTGGTTCCTGCCTCATCAACTAAAATATCTTTTTGGTTTTTTCTATTCTGTTCTTCAGAAAGTATTTCAGACACTATATTTGTTTCCAAACTAGCCTCAATACATGGATCTGCTATGTTATTTTGCTTATCAATTTTATTTACAACAGTCCCATCTTTAATGTTTTCAGTATTAGCCTCCTTCACTTCTGTTATATTACCCAGCAACCCCCATTCATCCCTTAATTCAGCCACATCACTGTTTCTAAAGTCACAAACAATTCTTGGAACATGCGCTGAATGATTTTCAGCTGGTTCCTCAAGTCCACCATTTAACGATGGCGCTGATGCGACTCGGCCTCCTGCGATTCCCTCTGCCTTCCCACTTCCATCCGCGTGCGTCTTTGTGTCCAGACATTCCTGTACAATTTCCATCTCCTCATTCTCCTCTGTGTGTTCCTCATTCTCAGTGCTTTGCAAGATTTCTCTTTTCCTCACATTCTCCACACTCTCATTTTTCATCTCCATTTCAATGGCTCTGCCTAAAAGATCATTAAGAAAGTTGAAGGGTCCACACTGTAGGGAGACTACTTAACTTACACCCTCACTTAAAACCCAGAAGAGAGAATGAATCAAAAGACTTGTTAAGAAATTTGCCAATTATGTGAAGCCAAAGAAGCAATTGAATTAGTATGTAGAATAAACAGTGAAACATTTCCATCCCCACAATAGTATGATCTTTATAAATCTGATCTGTTCTGCTTTTATTGACACTGTGAAGGTTTCACAGACTCAAGAGAACTGGCAATCTCTACTGACACTCTGTGTACAGTGATGCAGACAGACCTTATAAATTTTAATGGAACATCTATCCAAGTGAGTAACTGTATTAAGGACAAGAACATGTGGGCTGAAGGTTATAAAGGTGGGGGATTTCTTTTCAGAAACAGAATTTGGATCATATGTATGTGTGTGGGTGTGTGTGTGTGTGTGCGTGTGTTTTACTCCTGTTGGCTTGGACACCACATCTAAACTCTGCATTTCCCTTCGTGGGATATGGGGAGTTCCTTGTCTCCCTTCTCCTGTTGCAACAAAGACTGTTTCCCAAAATGCTGCCCCAGGGGGGACGGGGGACCCTCAGAAGCAGCATGATGGGCAAATGGGAGGGAAGGATCAGCCAATCAGCTCCCACGCCTACCAGCAGGCATGTCCCTCAGGATCCAAGGCACTGTGCTCGTAAGTAGCTGCAATGGTGCATACTGAACACTCCCAATTTTCTTCATAAGAATAAATAATACAATATTGAAAAATAAAAACGAGTATTTCATTTTTCTCTATTGACTTCCCTAACTCCTCACTCTTGTACTTTATTGCTGAAGAAAATATTAGGGTCCAAAAGGTGCTCATCACAAATCTGATCATTTCAACAGTACAGTCCTAAGGGGAAGAAAGTCCGAGTCCCCCCGGGGGGGGGGGCGGGGGCACCTTCCAGACCAACAAAGTTTTGTGTGCTCAGGGCACACGTCCTCAGGCACCCGGAAGCCCGCCCGCCCGCCCACGGGAGCTCCCACCCTCCCAGAGTTAAAGCGGTGTTGGTCCGGGGGTGCCCCCGCTGGGGGGGCTCAGACTCTGTTCTGCTGCTTCAGACCAACACGGCTGCCCCCACCTAAGTACTACAAAGTGCAACCCCACCCCCCATCGCCTACCAGTTCGTGTGGGTGGAATTCATTCTGTATTATTCTAGCCCCCACTCTGCCAGGGACACTGGCTGGGTAGTCTTGGGCCAGTCGCATGTTCTCAGCCTAACCTACCTCGCAGGGTTGCTGTAAAGTTACAATGAGAGGGGAATGGTGTAAGCGGCTCTTCATCCGCATTGGGGAGGAAGGCAGGGTATAAAGGAATACAATTTAAAACAAAAACAAAAAACCCCACGCACTCCCCCCTACGTGTTGCTCAGAAGCCAAGCCACTTCAGAGATTCTCATGACATTCATGTGTTCTATATTTTTCTATACAAAAACAGTTACACACTTTTTATACATGTTCCGCTGCTAATCTACGATGCCATTAAATCACTTACTTTTTGGACGGGGAAATGAAAGGCATTTGTTTAATCCCCCTTTTAAATGGAAAGAAAAGAAGTAGTACGCACAATGTGATCATCAGCACAGGTAGAAGACAGAATGTAAAGAAGTGATTGAACGAGCAGCATGCTGGTGATTTGTTAGTTCAGAATATAATAATTTTAAATGACAAGTAGCAATAAAACAGAAAGGTCTTACCTAGGGTACCATCTTCGGCTACCTTAACAGCATGACTTGTCACTGGGAGAAGTGTGGAAGAACCTGGAAGTCTATCACAAGTTTCTCCATTGGTAGCTATCTCTGTATTAGGGATTAGTCCATGTTTCTGCAGGCAAAATAATACAAGTTTTTATTAAGCTACCTTATAGTTGTGGAATACCTAGGACATGAAATTTGTTTACAGCAAGCTAGAGCCCCAAATCAGAGGTGACACAAAGCATATTCATACATACATGTATCCTCTGGTACATCTGGTAAATAGAGGAAATATTTTGGTATTTATTCAAAACATTTATTAGCGGCCTTTCTCCTTTGCAGAACTCAAGGCCACTTACAATATAAATAAAACTACTTCCAATTTAAAAAAACCCAATTAGGACTGCCATTAATAAGAGATTTATCAAAATGCAGTCCTAAAGAAAACTGTCTCCAGCGGCCTGCTGAAGACCGGCCACGAGAGGGCCAGGCAAACCCTCCCCGGGGGGGGGGGGAGGCTGCCCCATGACTGTGGGGCTGCCATGGGAAAGCCTCTCCCCACCACCTCCATTCCTGGGCAGGAATGTATGGGAGAAGACATCCCTTCAGATAAATTATTTAGATAAACAGAGATATCTTGATCTGTGGAAAGATTCCAATTACACTTTTATCTTTGCTCTTTCTCCAAGAAGTTCACAGCAACATGTTATCCTGACAGTAACTCTGTGAGGTTAGCCAGAGAGATAGAGGCAAGCAAAGTGAGTTCACAGGCAGATGTGGAATTGACCTTGAATTATGCAGCTGTTTTCAAAGACTACTCTCAATCTGGTTTGCTGGGCAACTAACATGTAATGTGTTTAGCAAGAGATGCTGACCAAGGCCTGTGCCACAGACATAAGGGAATACGGTCGACAGTAGGGAAGGCACAGGCTATCACCTCAGAGAAAAATGACCCAGCCACGCTGGTTCAGAAAGTCTCAAAAAGAAGAGTCACGTCATAATTCTTATTAGAATCAATGAAAATATCAGAGGGCAGCTGCGCTAAAGCTTTCTGAGGAGGAAAAGGGCGAGAAGAAAGGCCGACCCCACACGAGGGGACGGGAGGTTCACATTCTCTCCCCCGCCCCTGAAAGCTTTGGTGCAGCCCTAACCAGTTTTACTCATCACCAACTCATCTAATTAAATTTGTAACATATCCTGAACAAGCTGCAGACCAGAAGCTTTTCTATCACGGCCTAAAAATATTTCTTCTTCTCTTCTATGACTTTAAAATAAAATAAAATATTTTGTTAAAATGTTCCTAATCTACCTTTTCCATAGTTCAAGGTGGCTTACAAATAATTTTTTTTTAAAAAAAACAGCAACACTAAAGCCTCACGTAACTCTTTACTCCTAAAGTGCACTCAGCCTCCGCCCCCTTAAAAGCCCTGGCAAAAGGAGCAGGTCCGGCAGGACTTTCCTTTGCGCCATCATCATCCCCCTCTGATACCCAGGAGAACTCGGAAGCTGGCACAGTTCAGTGATACTGAGGATGCGCCTTATAAAAAAGGTATTATTACCCAGTTCTGGATTTAGACTTCTGTCAAATAATAGGCACCACTAGTGTACTTTTTTCCTCAATGATATTTTCTTGTTAGATACCATAAAGTGGCTGTATGTGTTTGACAATACAGTTCAGCACACACAGCAAGCATAAAGCCAGTCTATTTTACGTTTATCTAATCATGCCCCAATTGCAAAGCTCAAGTCAGCTTTTCTGTTATTTCTGCATACCTTCAATTGTTCTTTCAGCATATTCACCTCCTCTCTAAGATCATCTCGCTCACTTCTTATGGAATCAAAGAACTCTTTCTGCCTCTCTAATGCCTAAGTTTCCAAGAAACCAGCAAAGATAAGTAGTCAACAGGGAGAAAGGAGAGAGAGAAAAATAAAGACAATTAGCAATAAGAATAAGCAGGTTTCAGATATGGAAAGATAACAGAATTTGTACGTAAAAGGAGGAAAGATGTTTGTGGCTGTTATGAAGGCTTCCATTATAGATCTTATTCAGGTGGGTAGCTGTGTTGGTCTGAAGCAACAGAACAAAATTCAAGCCCAGTCGGGCACCTTTAAGACCAACAAAGTTTGATCCAAGGTATGAGCTTTCGTGTGCAGACACACTTCTTCAGATAGACTGAAATGGAAGTTATCAGTCCAAACATATAGGTAAAGGGTGACCAGCAAGTAGAATACAACATAATGAAGATGTTTAACAGATGCAAGGATCAAACAGGATAACAAGCTTAGTTTATATGGTCACCATTTGTTTGGATTTAATTCTGGAGGGAAACACAGTGAAGCAAATAAATATATCAAAATTGGAGATTGATGTGTAAATGTACCCTTCTTAATTGTGGAATGTTGAATTGTTGTTACGCTCCATCTGTCTCCAAATTACAATACATTCTACAATTCATTTCATTATATTACAACCACTATTCCAATCTACTATTCCAAATAAGCTGTATGCTAAAATAAAGAGGACGTATAGCCCTTCTTGGTGAGAATGCAGATGTAAGGACTGAATGAGATTAGCATATGTACATATGCTACATATATAATTTACATATGTACATATGTAATTTGGAAAGGTAGACTGGAATGTTTTTCTCTGGCCTGGTGACAGAGGAGACATAACGCTACACAACCCATCACCCCACCTCAAAGAAAAGGAGGCCATCAGGTCACCTCCGCGCTTGAGAGGAGACGGATGGAGCAAAACAAGAGGGTCTCAGTTAATTACTGCGAACCGAAAGGGCTAAGCTAAACTATATATATATATATATAACAGTACAAATATTTATTAAGGTGTACACATGTTAAAACTTATACTGATTAAAACATTTTTTTCCCTAAGTTCAGACTATAAAAGCTTATCCACTACTAATACATATGACAGGTAAACACTTTCCAACTGAAGACCAAACGCGTTTCGGCCCCTAAGGGCCTTCCTCAGTGGTCACTATTATCAATATATTATAGACACACATTCATACACCTGTTACAGAGTTTTAGTACACATATATTAAAACCAGATGTAGTTTCCTTGTAAACCTACAATTGTACTCCTGGTATTAGTGATGGGCCATAGGTATAGCCATATCACCTCCACAACTTATTCTGGTAACCGCGATTTCATAGGTCAGAATGTGTGTCCCTCCATCAAGGAGGCACCTGAATTTAAGCTCCTTCTGGCTTCAGAGTGTGGTCTGAATTCTTCTGAATGCTGGCAGGTAGAAACAGGCTCTCACTGACTGGCCACCGGGTTGGATCCTCTCCGCACCACCCTCTCCCCAGGGCCAGAGACAACTGGCCTCACCACCATCGGGTAATCTCTTCTCTGCCACAGGACCCAGCGGGGCTTCCCTGAGCCAGACCAGAGCTCTGCCTGCTCCCCCCCCGAAGGCCTTCCCTGAACTCACTGCGTTCCCATTCACTTATTTAGAAACCAGAAGGGATCGGGGGTGGGTGGGGGGGTGGAGGGGGGCCGAGAGGGCAAAGTTCTAGCAGCACCACTGCAGCAAGAAACCATTCAGGTTGTTTCCTCTGAAGGCTTAGAAGGGGGCTTAGCGCCCTTAAATTTCCTCTGGCAGCATTTTGAGCTGTCCCTCTTTGGTCTAAGAATGCCAGTGTGTTCCTCGTATATAAACATGAAGGCTAAAGTTCAATTTTTTAAAAAAGATTTTAATAATAAATGGCTGGACAGCTGCGTACACATCAATATATCTAATTCTCAACATGTAAGCTGCCCTGAGAAGGGAGCACTCACTGGAGAAGACCCTGATGCTGGGAAAAATTGAAGGTCAAAGAAGACGGGGACGGCAAAGGATGAGATGGTTAGACAGTGTCATAGATTTATTTTATTTATATTTATTTATATTTAAATTTATACCCCGCCCTCCCCGAAGGCTCAGGGCGGCTCACAAGGGGCACAAATGCCCAAGTTAAAACATTAAAACAGTACAGAATAATATAAAATACAATTACAATTTCACTAAAATTTACTTTACGGTGTTCCAAAATTATTTAACTATAAAAGTTCAAGATGGGATTCTAAAATTATTAGCAACAAGCCACAGTAGTAACAATAAATACAGCAGCAACAATATACATCCGTACAGCGTTGACCTCTGCCCGGCACGTCTCGCACCCCCAATAGTTCCCGCTCTGAAGATGGTCAATTTGCGGGACTGATGAGGGGGGCGTAGATAGAAAGATGGTGACATAATGATGATGGCGTAATGATGGTGGTGGCGGTGGCTCCTACTTGAAAGCCTGGCGGAAGAGCTCCGTTTTACAGGCCCTGCGGAACTGCACCAAGTCCCGCAGGGCCCGGATCTCTTCTGGGAGCTCATTCCACCAGGTAGGAGCCGCCACCGAGAACGCCCTAGCCCTGGTAACCGCAAATTTGATGTTTCTGGGGCCTGGAATGTCCAGGAGATTTTGATTCCCCGACCGTAGTGCCCTTGGGGGAACATGTGGGGAGATGCAGTCCCTAAGGTAAGCCGGACCCTGACCATATAGATGCAACGTACATGAAATTGAGCAAATTTCAGAGGACGGTGGAAAACAGGAGGGCCTGGCGAGATCTTGTCCAAGGGGTCGCGAAGAGTCGGACTCGACTGTGCGACTAAACAACAACAACAAAGCTGCCCTGAGCCCGCTTTGGCGGGAAGGGTGGGGTATAAATTGAACTAATAAATAGATAAATAAATAAATAAACATGGCCCCATCTGTGGATACAGATCATTTCTGCAAACCTGAGAAAAGCCCCAGGTTTGCAGAAAACCCTGAAATCTTAAAACAATAACACCTAGAGTACTGTGTTTTGGGCACCACAATTTAAGAAGAATCTAGACAAGCTGGAATGTGTCCGGAGGAGGGCAACGAACATGCTGAGGGGTCTGGAAACTAAGTCCTATGAGGAAAGGTTGAAGGAGCTGGGGATGTTTAGCCTGGAGAGGAGACGACTGAGAGGCAATACGATCACCATCTTCAAGTCCTTGAAGGGCTGCCATATAGAGGATGGGGCGGAGTTGCTTTCTGTTGCCCCAGAAGGTCGGACCAGAACCAAGGGGTTGAAATTAAATCAGAAGAGTTTTCGGCTAAGCATTCGGAAGAACTTCCTGACAGTTAGAGCAGTTCCTCAGTGGAACAGGTTTCCTCGGGAGGAGGTGGGGGGCTCTCCTTCTTTGGAGGTTTCCAAAGAGAGGCTAGATGGCCATCTGACAGCCATGTTGATTCTGTGAACTCAGGCAGATCATGAGAGGGAGGAGGGCAGGAAGGGTTGCCTCAGGGCTTAGTTCTCGTGGCCCTTTCTTACACGCCCAGGGAAATGCTGATCGCCACTTTGGGGTCACAAAGCAATTTTTCTCCAGGCCAGTTTGGCTGGGGATCTTGGAGGTTTTATGTCATCTTCTGGGCATGGAACAGGGGTCACTGTGGGTGTGTGGAGGGGGAGGTATTTGTGAATTTCCTGTGTTGTGCAGGGGTTGGAGTAGATGACCCTGGAGGAGGTCCCTTCCAACTCTATGATTCTATGACAGGGTTGCCACTAAAATTTTCTTTTTCATTTCCCTGACTTTCCCTGACCAACATTTGTCAATTACCCTGACAGCAATTCAAATATAACCACAAGTTAAAAAATATATTGCAGTAATGCAAGGTAAGGTTCCACTCTACAACTACACAAGTCTCAACTGCAAAAATATTTGTCAAAGAGATTTAATATCAGCTTCTTTCAACATCAACTGCAGCAACATCTGTTTTGGAATGGCACCAAAAATTACACCAAGATACAGATTTCAATTAAAATAAACTCTGAATGCTAACAAATGGCATAACATTTTCGTTATTGTTTTAAAGGTACAGTAAAAATTACATGAACGTTCTATCTAAAATGGTTGGGAAAGGGCATCATTGAGTTCTGCACTTGTGTTCTGCTCCTTCTCTATTCCAGTTGCCACAAGAACAGATCAGGCTCTTGCAGCAGCAGGTCAAAAATCCACAGCTTGAATATATTTCAATCACAATTTCCCTGACTTCCCCTGACTTCAGACCAATTTCCCTGACTTTCCCGAAAGTGGCAACCCTGCATGAACAAAACTGGGGTTGGGGTGGGGTGGGGTGAACCACCTGGGATTTTTTTAAAAAGTGCCTGTAGCTTTGAGACATGGAAACCAACTGGACATTTGGGGGGGGGGCACTAGGCAACCACAACCCTTATCAAACGTTTGTTTCTGTCCGTCAAAGAAGCAAGGGCAAAGGAGCAGGGCCCTCTCCAGGGCTACTTTGGCCCCCTGGCTGACCGCTGCTCCCCTTGGCCACTGACGATCATGCAATCGGCACAACTCCTCCTTCCCCCCCCTGGCTGGGGTGGGGTGGGGGGGTGGCAGCCCTGACCTGACGCAACCCGGCTCGCCCGAGCCCAGTGGCAGAGAGCCTCCACAGCCCTCGTTTGACTGGGCCTGGCCATGGCCCCCACACAAGTCGCCCGAGCAACTTCCTCTCTCATGACTTTTGTAACTGGCCCCTGACAGCAAGAAGGTGTCAGGGGGAGGGAAGGCAGGAAAGCTGACAGCCAGCATGGGGTTGTGGTTACAGAGAGAGAGACCCAGGTTCAAATCCTCATTCTGCTATAGAAGCTTGCTGGGTGACCTTGGGCCTGTCACTTTCTCACAGCATAATAAGAACATAAGAACATAAGAACATAAGAGACGCCAATGTTGGATCAGGCCAAAGGCCCATCCAGTCCAACACTCTGTGTCACACAGTGGCCAGAAATACCAGTGCCATCAGGAGGTCCAGCAGTGGGGCCAGGACATTAG